CAACTCAAGACTTGGCTCGACACCGTTCGTCAAGACATGGACGTGGTTCTTGGACCCTCGTTATTCGGTCTTCATAGCTGGAGAAGAGAATGGGCGGAGCTTTCCAGATGCACCGCCGCCAATCGTTACAACTGTAGGAGTACCGTCCATGACATCATTGTGGCCAGCTAGATTACACATGATCGGAGTACAAGTAAGAAAGAACAATGTTGGAATGCTAGCTTCAAAACAGTAGAAAGTTGAGAATTGTCTGAGCACCAATCTTTGGGAAGGTGAACTGTCTGTTAAGCCGAGAAACTAATAGCACGTTTGCAGGATGCGGGCAAGGCGTGGTTCTTCATCGTCCCATGAAAACTGACGCGATTTTTTGTACAATCCTTTTTAAACTACGACATAATGGTAGTCCGCGATCCAAACTCTGACCCTTTTTTGTCAAAATGAAAATTTTAACATTTACCTTCGCAGTCAGCGAGTGTTTTGACATGGTTTGCATCGTTTACGTCATTTGGAATATGCTTTGTTGAACGATGTTATAATCCGGAAATGGAAGTCTGTACCTTTTCCCATCCAAGCTAAATTATACGATAGTCTGTGTCGAAACCTATGAACAATTGACTAACGTGTTTAAGACAGAACATATTCCATAACCTGTTAAACAAACCAGGCAGTCCAAAGCCCACCTATAGACTTATAATTTAGCCTCTTTCTAGGGAGAAAGTATTCGCGTGGTGCATTATGTAACCTCGGAGGAGGGATGTATTTGGATTTCGAAAGTTTGTACTCTTCCTGCGGTGTTTGTAAAAAAACAAATGGGTAAAACTTGAGTTAGTTGCCCACCCTATCCCCTAGTCCTGTGGTTACTGTTAGTTTTATTAGTTCTAGTTCAGTTTGATTTCTAGTCTATTCGTTTTTCTTTGGGTTAAGTTTAATTTTATTAGATCCGGTAAAAGTTAGATAAATATATTTAAATAGTTACTATATTCTAATCCAAACTTGGTAAAGTTAATAAAACTAACTAAACTAAAGACTTAACTACACAAAACTAACTGAAAACTTAACTAAACTGAAATTAAACTAAGAACTAAACAATTAAAATGATGCCACAGGTCCCGTACGCCACAAATCTGGGGCTAGGGGAAGCTAAGGTGGGCGAGTGGCTTAAATTTTACCGACTAACGTTTACAGTTGCTTTTAAGACTTATGTACGAAACTACACCACAATAGATTTGATGCGGGAAATTGCATGAAGTCCCATTTAACTGCCAACAGTCATAGCATATTTACACAACTAGCGGTAAAACAGTTTACGTCGGAATTGCAGTAGACCTTCGAACTGTCTGTTTTAGAAGGGAAGAGGGTTTAGTGAACGGTGAAAGTGCTGTTAAAATCGTTGCTGCTGCTTTATATCATTTGTCGTTCCTTCACAAAGTCAGGTTTTCATTAAGTCGCACGGGTTGAGTGAATTTTGTCATCATTACCATATACTTTTCCGTTCGTTTGTCAGTCACCCGCGTTTACTACAGCGGATGGGTTGGTTTGCGATAAAAAAACGTACCAATGGACATGCTGGAGACAGTCGGTTTGTGCAGAAAATGTAGGCGGGCCCACGTTGGCTGCAGTAGCCCTTGATCTAGTACGGCGAAATGAATGGGACTCCAGAAGTATGTCTGAACGTGGAGTCCAATCCCAATCGAGGATATACACCGCGGAGTTCAACGCTGACCTCTGCTCAAAGGATCAAGAGGCCTACATCTTGGTCGAGTAATTGTGACCTGCGGAACAGACAAATGTGTACGGTCAATCGACAGTTCCCTGATTTTTTCTATTCAACAGATTTATCTTCTGTATCAAAAAGGGCTGGAAAGTGTTATAAGTGATTAGCCGTCAACAATCCACTACGCCCAACTTCGGGTGTTGTGACACCGAAGAATGTAACCCGGAAGAAATCTGTTAGAAGTGCAACGCCGTGGGCCATACTTGGCGTTGGGTATGGCTGGCTGATGACGGCTAATAAGCCAGAAATATTAATTCCAGTCTGTCTGGCCTTGAGCATTCACCGATTGATAACCCTTTGAAATTGAGTATGACTGGTTGATGACGAGTAATGAGTCAAGAAATGGCTACCATCCCTCTGACGGTCTTTTCCAGTAATGCCTTTCTGCTTATAATATGCTTGTAGCTGGCAGAAATCGAGATCCAAGGAAATGTCAAAGAAGTGTGTTCCATAACGCCGTCCATCGGCGCTCCACTACGACGGAGGAACGTGTTCAGCCGATGGTACAGTTCGGTACGCGCAGCTGAATTACAACTGATTGAAAATAGTCTATCAGAAATGCATTTTGGCTGTTAGTGTTACATTTTCCAGTAGACACTCAGTACCCTCATTATCCCAGATTGATCTCATGAATAAATTTAACTATGAAAGCATTTGCATATGTAATCACAACAAAAATCCTTTCGATATAAGCATCAGAAGAGAACGGGCTACAATACTGTTGGCCTATATAGCTTTCACATTCTGAATGAACTCACTTTGGATAACCAATACATGGGATCGAGCGACTGCCCCCTTGGACGCAATGTATTCCTAGCTCTCCAAATATGCCTCTATGATCATATAAATGCAATACCAATGTTTTCGAAGGCTTTTTTTCTACTCAAAATTAACATTAACGTCGTGCTGGATGGACCGGTTTAGTTGGAGACCGAAACAGCTAAAGCAACGTTCCATTTTCAGAAAGACTTCTATACTCATATGCTGGTTGAAAAAAATAGTCTTTTGGTTTGCCTAAGCTACAAAGTACGCCTAGCACCCAAACAGATTATTTCCATATAAGAGAATATACGTTCGAAGAAGAAAGGATCTCAGAAAACCATAAACAATTCTGGCGCGAAAAGCCAAATTGCTGGTCTCTCCGACTAGGGTTTTATTTTCTGACACATCAGAAAACGTCACCGTTGGAGCTGCAAGGCAGATTCTTTGGCCTACCAAAGAATTTATTTCGGATGAAATACTTGACATTAAGCGGTTAAAGAAACTGCCATCTTAACGTTGGCATGCCATGCCGGGGAGGGGCCGTATATAAAAACGTTGCACACATCACTTAAGATTAGGTCCACTTGAGTAACCGTTCTTAAGCTACTCGTTTACCATCCACTACATACTTAAAACCCAAAGTGGCCGAGCATTAGTAGATCATAACGAAAGTGTTATAATATTTCAGAATTTTACCCTTATAGCGATCCAGTACTGGTCAACTGCGTTCGCTTCAAGCATGATCTGTAAAGCAGCTAAAGGCATGGAAGACAAACTCATTAGCCTGTATTTTGGTGTTTGCCCTCTAGATCAGGCAATTCCGATGGATACACAGTCTACGATATATGCCGAGGACAGAGTCTACCAAGACAGTGATGCCCACAGCTCAGAGTTCGCCGAGGGAATGCCAACCGTCTCCTATCTCCTTAATCAGACAATGCAACTGCACGGAATCCCCTTGGTTAGGCCAAATCAGGTAGGCCAAAAACTGTTTTACTTCAGCTTTTTAATCTCCTGAGAAATTAATTTCTGTTTGCGGTATAACATCAGCATATTTAAGGTCTATAGGTGTAGACCGAAATTGTAAGTGTATATTTGGGTTGAAACCCGTCAACCGCTGCAAAATATCCACTTCCTGCCCATAGACAGACTTTAGTAGAATAAAGTGATGTTGTAACCGGTAAATCAGCCAGAAAGCAGAGAGGGAAAGCTGGGGGACCCACTGATGAGCCGGACCCCTC